ATTTTTCTCTCTCTCACTGATTTATATATATATATATATATATATATATATATATATATATATATATATATATATATATATATATATATATATATATAAATATAAAATAAATGAATAATTACCATTATATTTTTTAAGTTTTTCCATTGTATGTATACATTTACAAATCTGTCAATTTTTTTAAATTCCAGTCTGCTTTGGGTTCAGAGGTCAGTGGGGGCCCTGTTAAATCTCAAAGTTTGCTTGTACTCTAGGCCGGCTATGACTATATCCATTTTCTTGAAAAAATTAAATGAAACTTTGAGTCTGGAAATGGCCTGGCACTAAATCCTGAAAGTCTAACTGAATGGGAGAAACTTTTATTTATTTATTTATTTATTTTACACTCAGCAGTTGTCACCCAATCCTCTCTGACTTTTCTTGGCTTCCGCTACAAGCTATAGGTTTAAATGACTGAGGGAGAACATGCTGTACAACAGGCTAATTTCCTCTACTTTACTATTAATGCATTTGGCAGGAACATCATTCCATTCCCCGTAATGAGATACACAAATAAATCTGGCTATGGATAGATTCAGAGCTGGGTGGTGGCAATGATGGTGGAAGGGAGGGGAGGGTGCAAAGGAAGGATGTGCATTGAGACGCATACTCCAAGCCCTGGCATAATTGGTATCACTGCTTGCAGACATGCAAACCAATCTCTCCATAGATAGGGCCGAGACTCTCTTTTCCCCCCTTAAGGCTATTTCTTTTGTCTTTTCAATAGCTTGCACATCCAAGATAGAGGGAGGGGACTGGGGTGTAAGGGAGAAGGGGGAGGTGGGGGGTTAATTTGTGAATTAATAGCTTTTCTCTGCAGAATTGCAAATTCTTTTTAAATGTCACTGTGTTGTAGATGCGAAGAGCATCTGAAGCCACAAACTCTCACACAAACACATTTCCAGGCAAAAGGTGGGAGTCATACGCATCCACAAATCCTAAAACTAATCCCTGCTCTGTTATTATTGAGTCTGCCAGGACCTACCTTATCCCTCCTTTCCTCGCAAAACATTTCTTTTTTCCTTCTCTCGCGTGAGCTGTCCAGTGTAACATGCTACTTTTAATTTGCAATAACACATGACAAGGACAGATTAATAGCTCTTATGGCACCCGCGTCCCTGAGGCTCATCTTACGGGGGACCAGGTGTACATAACGCGTGTCACACTACATTATCTCTACAGCCCTGCAGTAATGGGGACCTTTTTCTTCCTGAAAGGGCAACTGCTGACTTCAGTCACACAAGGAGCACTAGCCAACGACATCGTGACACAATCCGTACAAGGAAGGTACAACTCTTTCTTATCAAGAGCGCCATCAGGATTTAAAACATGCAGAGACAATCATATGACACTTTCACATTTTAAAGAGCTGTTTGTTTGTTTGTTCGCAAAACACACCACCAACACCAATGTGCCAATAGTTGTAACGAGGTATAAAACAAATTAATAAATAATCACTTAGTTTTTTTTTTGTTTTTTGGTTATTTATAGAACTTTCTCTGTTCTTATTTTTACTTATCTGTCTTGTAGTTTAATACTTTCACACTTGATTCAACTAGTTTTCAAGATAAGCTCAGTTTGCAGCTGGGTTCTTACCTCAATGATTTTAAAACTTTAAAAAATCATGAATTAATTAAAAAATTAATCTTAAGTTAGAATATGGCCACAAACTAAAGCAGTTATCGTGTTCCTAAAGACCACAGTTACAATGTAGGGTACAACTACAAAATGCATAATTATTATTTTTTTTTTTTTCAAAACAAAAGAAAGACCAATGTCGTCTGCATAAAGTTGTAACAAATTAAAAAAAAAATCATTATTTGTTATTACTACAAAACATATCTACTTCTAGGTATTCATTAAATTGTATTTTGCTGAAAGATGTTAGCTTGTAGCTTGATACATTAGCATATAATTTAAGCAATTCAATTACATTGTTGAGAGCTTTCACTAATAAAAAAACACTATTTTAAAAAAGTGAGAATATGTCCAAACATAAAAACTGCACAATACATATGATAATTTCAGGATTTAAACAATTGCTGAGAATATACTGAATTTTCTCATTCTTTATAAACTTAAAATCCTCAGCTATCAATTGTTATTAAAACCCCAGAGAGTAGATTAGTATTGAACTGTCTGTCTTTAGATGGAAAATACTATTTTCCACAGTAACTTTACCTTAATATTTTTTAACTTATTTTTGAAAAAAACAAAACAAAAACAAAACAAAAAAAAAAAAACATATTTTCCTGCCACACTTAGTGAGTAAAACCTGAATAAGTAAAGACATAAACTGCAGGTGAGGGGAGAGGATGTGTGGTTTGATTGATAGAGCAAAGCAAAAAAAACAAAAAAAACAAAGAGAAAATAAGGTTGTCTAACTTCAACTTACAATGTCCTATTTTCCTTCCATCCAAGTGGTTGCCACTCCAGAGAACTAAAGAGACAGAAACATAAAAGGAAAGGAAGTGGCCTGTTTTCATCAGTTCTCTCTGAGATCATTTTTAACCACATCATCCCAACCAGCAACCTCAATGATGTGCCCACACAAACACCCACCACACACACACACACACACACACACACACACACACACACACACACACACACACACACACACACACACACACACACACACACACACACACACACACACAGCCCCTGCCCTGCCTCCACCGGTCTGTTCCTACACCTGTTCAGGCCTCCACCGGGGACATGTTAATTCACAGGCATTAAAAAAAGCCAATTGTTTGCACAACCGATAATCTATTAGCCCTTGGGCGCTGTGTGTCCACTTTCCTGCTCTGCCCAGGAATGAAGAAGAGAGAAACAAAAAACAACAAAAAAAAGCATCCTGGCTTGGGCTGGAAAACCTTCCACATAATCTTTGAGTGTATCTATATCTGCTTTCTTGCCAATTCTCAGCTTTTGTTTGCTGTAAAAATACATGTTTTATTTGCCTTTTTTTAATCAGAAAAATAGAACAATAAAAAAAATGTCCCTAAAGTTTTTATGTAGTGCTAAATATTAAACGACTAGAAGTTCACTGATAAAAATCAAGATTGCAGAGGAGATTTTTTTTTTTCTGCCGTTTGTGACTTTATGGGGATAGAGGCAGCAATGCTGATGACTCGCCAAGGGGGATTAGAGTTGTAATGACAGCTATACGCAGTGTCAGTGGTATCAGATAGAGATGCTGCTCCTTTGCCATATATCTGTATGGCAAAAATGAAACTGATTGGATCACAGTGCTGTTTTGAACACTCGGGTCTGCCTGATGGAGACAACACACAAAAACACTCTCTTGACTGCAGAACTGTCATAAATGTCAACTTCTTCACACACAGAAGGGGAGGGGGGGGGAGTAAGAGAAGAGAGATGAGATGAATTAAAAAGGATGAAAAACAAAAGGGGATCTTGTGCTTTTTCCTTACCATCATCCCGTTTCCTTTTCTCGCCGTTGGAGCGGGGAATACCCAGAATGCCGTTGATGGAGTAGGATCCTACGGGATTGTTGGAGGCACTGGTCACGGGAGGCGAGGCTGTGCTGGGCACTGGTGTAGAAAGCTGTGTTAGTGTGTGTGTGTGTGTGTGTGTGTGTGTGTTTTGTGTGTTTTCCGAGTTGTTTCGGCAACAGCGATTGTCTTATTTGACTGTCCTCTAATCTGCTTTATTCATTCGCTCACCTATGGTGTGGCCGGGTGTGGAGAGCGGCGTGACGGATCCATCAGGGGACGGGTGGAATTGCTGCTGGACTTTGGTGCGGATAATCCTGATAAAGTGAACAACAGACATGGATCAATCAATGCTAGTTTCCACGGCGCGGAGATTTCACATCAAACCGGCCCCGGCCTCGGACGCTTAAACACGCTGCCTCACGTCCACTTTATGCCTGTGCATGTACAAAGCGCTCCTGCCGTTTGTGGGCCTGCTTGTATCCTCACATGCGGGCCTGTCCCCGTCACAAATAGCCAATCTCTGGGCTTTGGGGCCAATCTCTCTGCTCCTTGTGTGCTGCTGAATAAGGGCTGGCCCCTGGAGATTGTGGATTCAATCTAGCTGGATTCTGAGGTTAGAAATATGATAAAGTCCCCCATACAAGTAAGATGTGATGTGGCGGGAAAGTCTTCATTGCACTTTGGTCTGAATGATCTTGCAAACAAAGCATGAAATCACATCAATTCACCTCAATGATCAGCTTCACTGGCTCTACCTGGCCAACTCTAATAATCTCCCTCTCCTGCACACCACACACTCTCTTTTTCTCTCTCTCTCCCTCCATCTCTCAAAGCTGATCTCTCCTCTCCATCTTCTTTTCTCATTTCTCCTCTCTTTTCTCTCCAGCGCTGCCTTACTGTACCTCATAACGACTGTCTCTCAAACTCCACTTCTCCTCACTTTCCTTTATTTTTCTTTCTCCAATCTTCTCGTCCATTTCTGTATCTCTGAGCCGTAGTTTTTTTTTTCTTCTTCTTCTTTTTACAAGCTAAACACGGGACTCAGAAGTTCTGTGTGCTCAGAGCTTATTGATTGGAACTCCCAGAAAGAAAAGTTGACAACAGAGGCTGGGAGACAAAAAGCACGTGCAAATTGTGATCCACAAATCCAATGTGACAGGTTAGCAATAGGATCACAATGGCTCAAACGGCGTCCAACACCACATCCAACATTGTTTTAACCTGTCCTGCGCTTTGGAATAATAACAAGAATGAAAGAAACAGGCAGAAAAATGTATTTAAACTGACAAGGAAAAGGAGAAAAACTTTCACCAAATCATGCTGCCATGGTGTAAAGTCTGCTTTGACTCTTCTGAGACATGATCGCATTAAACCATGACTATGGTAATCTTTTGATAGACAGGAGAACATGAGATAATTGATTAACAGACAGCGACATAAATCCCACATGGAATTACATCTGGCTGCAAACATGTGTCAAGAACAGACTTTAACGGGTGCAGATGAGGTGACTGACACACACACACACGCGCGCAAAGTGACCAGGAATCCATTGAGCATTCTCCACATTATCTCTCTATGTCCTCCAGCACTCTCTCCTTCAGGCAGGGCAACAAAAGGCAAGCAGCCTCCTCCTCCTCCTCCTCCTCCTCCTCCAGAAAACTCCACATCAATATTTTATTTGAATTTCCAACATCTCACCACAACAGTTATCTGACCTCATGACTTGAGGGAGTCTCGTAAATTCAAGGACTTAGTTTCGAGTTGTGTGTTGTTCGTATTGAAAAAGCAATCTGGGTGGTTGAGTTAATGACTTCGGTGTTTGGCTCTTGTGTAAAAAAAGAAAGAAAGAAAAAAAAGAGTATATCAAACAAAAGAAGTATAAAAATGGTGATCAATGTTGATGGAAAGCCTCCTATTGGTGCTTTTCTCCAATGGGGCATTGGACCACAAAACAAAGCGAAACCCTGTCTTAATGTAATCTTTTATAAATCATAGAAGAAGAAAAATGAAAAAAAAAAGTGCTTAAAACTGAGCTCTTTAGTCAAACAGCAGAAATCAGACAGTTTATGACACAGACCACCACTCGGGGTTTTGTTTTCTATATCCTTTCCTTCATGCATTTAATTCCTCCTCCAACAATCTCCTTACAACACCAACTCCTATTCTGCAACGTTACCATTTCCCCTGGAAATGGTTGCATGCTTTGCAATTCACCTTTGTCGTTTTGATGAAGCTGAAGCAGGTCACACGTTTTATATCTGAGCACATCAGAGGACTAAAACTCAGAGTGAATTCTCAGAGTTGTTGGGCTGTAACCAGTGGTGTTAATTATTAACGTACAAACTGGAAAACAATTTCTGTGGGCACATTTTTCTCATAGCAGCCTATCACCAGTGCTTCCAATAGTAACTTAAAACAGAGCAACAGAGAATTATACTTCACTGTAAAAACCTGTTGAATAATCTCCAAGCGTCGTTTTCTTGTTTTCCTTCATTATTTTCATCCTTTCTTTTTTTCTTTCTTGAATTTAGCTGGACGTGTTATGAGACTCTTTTCAGCTCATTAAACTGTAATGCTGAGGACCAGCTCTCTGGAACAGTGCCTCCTAAGTAAAGTTCATCACTGAATGCACGACGGGACTTTTTCCTTACATGTTTTTACATCTAAAAATATTGTGTTTTATTCCCCAAAAAACTGTCCCGCAACGAGGGAAAAATAGGCATCTAAATAGGTATTTAATAATTTAATCATTTTTATTTGTGAAATTATTTTCGTATTCCTATTTTTCAATAATAATAATAATAATAATAATAATAATAATAATAATAATAATAATAATAATAATAATAATAATAATAATAATAATAATGTGAATTTCATAGTTTACATATATTATGTTGGACGACGTGGATACTGACTGGCAGTGAGGATGCTGCA